TATTATTATTATTATTCGTATTGTTATTAGTGTTCTTCTTATTAATGGTTTTTTTTATATTTTTAGGGCGCAGTTTAAGACGCCGTTTGGTGTATGAGACGCGTTTCGGGAGCTTTCAGCCCCCTTCGTCAGGCATGGGCCCAAATGGCTGCCGCGCGGTGCAAGCTCACCGTACGCGCGTGTACGCAGAGGCAGAATGCGAATGCGACTGATGGCACATCTGTCGCATTCGCAATTGTCGTTCCTTGTGGTAGCGCGATGACTGTACCTTCGGATGCAACTCCTGGGAGGTCCAATTTTCATTTTGCCCCGGTCCGAAATCCAGCTGAATCTCGCTCAAGCCCGCTCACCCCGGCTGCATCCCGCTCACCCCGGCCCAGTCCCGCTTCAGCTGCGGCCCGATCCGGCGCGGCAGCCCCCCACAAGCGGGGCTCAGTTCTCGCTGGAATCCTGCCGACGGAGACCTCCCGGCAGTTGCATCCCAACGCCCCCCCCCGAGCGTGGCCCTGGATCTCAGGGTCGGAGGGCGATGCCGCGGGGCGGGTCGGTATCGTTTCTCTGATCCCCATCCCCATCTCCATGGCCTTCGAGACCCCCACCAAATTATTACCACCCCAGTTGGGGACGCCCCCCTCGAGGCCCGACGGGAACGACCTCCCTCCCCATCCGGGGGGGCACATCGGCCAGTGGGGCCCGGGCCACGCCGCTGGGGATGGGGATCGGTTGAACTCAGAAGGGAAAGAAACACACAGACACAATTCATCGTCGACTCCCAGGAAAATATGTGAAAATATGGGAACTGGGGGGGAAGGCAAAAGCCAAACAAACATGGGAAAATATGGGGAATCTTTTTATCTGTGTGTATCTATCTGCGTGTCCTGGGGCTCCGCGGGGCGGCGGCGGCCTCCTGCGCTCTGCCGGGCCGGGCGCAGCGCCTCCGCTGGTGGGAGCGGCACGCGCGCCACCTGGGCGGGCCGCGGCACGCGGAGCTCGCGGCGGCCAGCGAGGTCGGAGGCCTGGAAACAGGCACCAGCACCAAAGCAGGGGGTCGCCTCCACAGGGGCAAGAGGATCCCAGATTTCGGTGTCGGTGGTAGTATTTCGGTCACCTTGGAGCCAGAATGCTACCATCATCACCGGGATTGGGATCTTCTCCCCTCGGTGGAGGCATACCGCCGATCTTGGTGTTGGTGTCAACCTCTGGGCCTGCGACGAGGGGCTCTCCTTCCGCGGCCTCTGGGCGGCCTCGGAGCGGGCCATCGAGGAGCGGGTGCCGATGCAGACGCACTGCTCCTTGCTCATGCGTCGGAAGTTCTCTTGGATTTTTTTGTTGGGGGGGGGCCAAGGTCCTCCCATTTCTAGTTGTTCTATCCTGGGCCTCCTCCTGGCCACTGGGGGGCCAGGAACAACTAGAAACGAGCGCAGTTAGAAATGAGCACGATTAGAAATGAACGACGTGTAACGGTGCCAGTGCCCCCCTTGTTTCGTCCTCTCTGAGCCTCCTGGGAGGCCCTCGTCGCCGGCGCCGGCTTCGCGTCGAAGTGCTGGTCGGGGCGCACCCTGGGGGAGAGGCCTGGGGAGCAGCGGTGTTTGTCTGTTGGCTTCCCCAGCTCAGATCCGGGCGTTGCTTCTTTATTCCACAAGTTGTGCTTTCGCCAGGATTCGGGTCCCTGGACTACAGTCGGGGCGCTGAAGAAGAAACCCTTTTCGTCGGGGAGGGGCTCGGTGTTCCTTGATTGTTGTACAGTTTGCGTTGGGTTGTCCTTTCGTTTTCTATGGGAAATCAAAACTTATGGGAGCAAGGGGCCTCGTTCCTTGTTTAGGGTTCCTTAGGTCAACGCCCCGACCGTATCAGCGATCGATCGGGCACCAACAAATGATGGGTCCAGGGCTCCAGTCGTGATTTTTGGTGGTGTTGCAATGTTTCGCAACGCCGGATCTCAGAGAAAGGAACGTCGGGGCGAAACTCAGAGCGTGACTTACCTACCCCGCTTTCGCTTCCAGGCAAAACCAAGTCATACCACGCGCCTCCTCGTCGAGCGGCCTGACCAGTACAGGCCGCAGTTTGGCATCGCTTTGTACCTCTTGGAAGCGAGGGTGGTCAAAAGCGAGGTAGGTTTGTTTTCCCTCTAGAAACTGCGGGTCCAGGGCTCCAGTCGTGATTTCTGGTGGTGTTGCACTTTTTCGCAACGCCGGATCTCAGAGAAAGGAAAGTCGGGACGAAACTGTCTTGGCATCGCTCGGACGTGTGCATTTTTCTTTCGGCGAGGGCCATCGAGGAACATCCTTGACCATTTGGCGAAAAAAACACGCACGAAACCGAAAAAAAACACAGCGAATGGACGTCCGAGCGATGGCGAGCTGCGGGGTTCGAGGCTTTTCGACGTGCTCGTTGGGTCTCGGCGGCTTGCCCGCCGCGGGGTGTGCGCCAGCAGCTGCGCCTCGGCGAGGGCGCTCCGGGGCTGCCCGGGCCGCCCCGATCGGCCGTCCCGCCGGCCATCGAGGGCCGTCTTGGCCCCCCTCCCGAGGGGAGAAAAGCCATCTGCGGGGGCCAATATTAACAATAATAATGATAATGCTAAGCATCATCATCATAATAATAATAGTAGTAATAATACTAATAATAATGAAAATAATATTATTAATAATAATATTAAGAATAATAATAATACTAGTACTACTAGTAGTAGTAGTAGTAGTAGTAGTAGTAGTAGTAGTAGTAGTAGTAGTAGTAGTAGTAGTAGTAGTAGTAGTAGTAATAGTAGCAGCAGCAGCAGTAGTAGTAGTAGTAGTAGTAGTAGTAGTACTAGTAGTAGTAATAATGATAACAATACTACTACTATTATTACTACTACTACTACTAATAATAATAATAATAATAAAAAATAATCATCATACTAATAAAATAATATTAATACTAATAATCATAATAATGACAATAATGATACTATTATTGATATTATGATTATTATTATTATTATTATTATGATTATTATTATGCTTAGTATTATTATTATTATTGTTATTACTAATACTATTATTTGTTATTGTTATTAGTATTATTATGATTATTATTATTATCATTATTAATAATAATAAGAAGAAGAAGAATATACCACCACCGCCTCCCTCACCCCCTCCCTCTTCCAGGCAAGAGGAGGGGAAGAGGAGTCGGAGGGTAGAGGAGGCAGGGGGAAGTGGAGGGGGGTGGCGGTGTATATATCCCGGGGGCCCGCGGCCCTCGGAGGAGGAGAGGGTGCCGAGAGACTGCTGCTCGTCCCGGACAGCCCGCGTCGCCACGGCTGGACTCTCTGCTGCCCTCTGGCCAGGGCGCGCACCGCGGGCCGTCGGCCCCCGATCTGGGGCAGGGCACTGGTTTTGGGGGCCGTGGTCCGGAGCTGCGGGGGCCCCGCAGGGAGTGCCTCGAGACGCTGGAGGGGCTGGCCCCCCCCTCGGAGAGGGGACCAGAGGAGGAGGAGTAGGAGGAGGAGGAGGAGGAGGAGTAGGAGTAGGAGTAGGAGTCAAGCTAGCCAGCTCGAGCGAGTCAAGCATGGCATGCCCAGTCCCACCCGCCCTCCCACAACATAAGAAGCAAAGCTGGCACAACTGGGGGCCGAAGTCACACCGGCCAGCCGGTTTGGTACAGCTGATGCGGCCGCGATGGCGGTTGCCGACGGGAACTGGCGAGCGCGTGTTGAATGCCGCGCACGCATTGCCAGACGAGTCGAGAATGGCCCGGTACACCGCAGGAAGCCAGAGGTGGCCGTGTCGAGAACGGCCCGGTAAGCCGGGTCCCATTCCTGCCATGCATTTTGCGACGTGGACGACAGGACGTCCATGCGACGGTGCCAATGACGGCGACGACTCTATGAAGGATTTGAGCATGCGCTCGCGGCGACGCGCGCGCATGTCGCCCGCGTGGTATTTTTTGCACAGGATTCGCGGCCTGGGTGCATGACAGAGCATCGCGAGTGCACCGCGCGATAACGTGAAATCGCTGGATTTGACCGAATTCTTAAGATTCCTATGGTTTTCCTATGATTTCAGCAAGAGAGCCCGGGCGGGAAATTTGTACAATTTTTGTGAAAAAGCATTGGGTTTTTGATGTTTTTATGTTGAAATGCTTGCAAACACACGGTGTTCGGTAGGATTCTGACATGAACGCGCGCGTGTGCTCTTTGTGGTATTTTTTGCAATGGATTATCGCCGTGGACGACAGGACGTCCATGTCGAGAGGAAAAAATAAGAAAAATGTTGATTTTGTATTGTTTTTTACAGGTTAGGATGGGACCACCCGGATGCGGCCCCTATCTGCCGGCCTGAGGGGGGAGTAGGAGTATATTCTAATAAGGAATAAGGATAGGAGGAGGAGGAGGAGGAGGAGGAGGAGGAGGAGGAGAGGAGGAGGAGGAGGAGGAGGAGGAGGAGGAGAGGAGGAGGAGGAATCGCGCGGGTTCCTTGGATCGGCGCGGTGGACCCCCCCCCGGCGGCGCCTCCGGCGCCGCCCCCGCTGTGGCGCTCCGCGCATCAGCGAGGGAGGTCCAGCGCCGATCAGAGGAGAGTCCACGAGCCAGACCCCCTCGGGGCATGCAGAAGCATCACGGCAGGAGTCTGCTTGTTCGCTATTCTTCGAACGCTGCGGAGTCTCACCCGGCTCTGGTGGGATCGTCCCAGATCGAACAAGAAAAAACGCCATAAACATATTTTTTTGGCGCTCCGCGTGGATTTCTTGGATGCGCGTTGGGCCCCCCCCCCAGCGGTGCCTCCAGCGCCGCCTCTGGCGCGGTCCGCGCGCCAGGGAGGGGGGCCCAGCGCAGATCCAAGAAATCCACGCGGACCATCGAAAGTCTATGGTTGTGGCATTGTTGTTGTTGTTGTTGTTGTTCTTCTTCTTCTTCTTCTTCTTCTACAAAGCCTGCTCGGCGCAACGAAACATTCTCCTGGGAGTGGTCCAGAGCTCCGGCGACCCCGCACCGAAACAAGAGGCATGTGGCCCCCGTCTGCGGGAGAGAAGGACCTCGAGGCGCGAGCTTCGAGGAGACAGAACTCGTTGGGCTCGCTCCCGCTTCGACGGCCCAGGTCTTTGATTAAGTCGGGCCTGTCCTTCTACAGGAGGGAAAGTCAAACATAGTCAGAACATGGCCTGGGGATGACGTTTGAAGTATTAGTGGGCAGTTTTTGCATATTTCCAGGGTATGTTCTGGATTCTTCGTCCAAAATCCCCCTGTAGGGGGACATACCCGACGTAAGTCTTCGAGCGTGCTCAGTCTTGTCGGGCCCCCCAGGAGGCCCCCCAGGAGGCCCCCCTCTCGTCGCCGCTGCCGGGTCCGCCGCGAAATTTTCGGGGCAAAAGTGCCGCCTTCCGGAAGGGGTCCAGGGGCCACAGGGAGGGCCAACGCGGAGTGGGAAGGGCCAGACTTCGGGTGTTGCTAGAAGTACCCCTGGCCCAAGGTACCCCCAGGATTCCCGGCGTAACCCAGACGGCCTCCAGGGCACCCCTCCCGAGGCCCAGAGGGCCCTAGGGGCTCCAACACGGAACGAAAAGCTGGGGGTACTCTGGGCCGAGGGCACTTCTAGCAACGCCCGAAGAGTGGAAGCGGGAACTCGGCGAGCCAGGTCCAGCGCCAGAAGATGTCCGTACTTTTGAGAGAACGCGTTTCACGGGCGCTTGCCTTGGGAACATTCGGCGGCGCGTTTCAAACCGGGGGGTGGGCCCCCCCTCCCAACACCTGGCGCCGTCGATCAAAACCAGGGGGACCCCCCTCCCACCCAAACACCGCCCCTCCCGACCCCCCACCCCCCTCCCAAGGGGGGGAGGGGGGTTCAGCCCCCCCGCCCCCCCCGCTCTCGGCGCCGGCGCCGGCGCTGGCGGCCGCCAGCAGCGCCCACGGCGGGGGCGCAGCGACGATGACCAAAGGCAGCCCGAGGGGGGGTTCAAACCTGAAATGGGACGAATTACAACCGACTTGTCCCAATTCCAACCGTTCGGAGCGAATTGCAACCAGAAATGCGACCAATTACAACCATGGGATCTTCAGAAGTATTTCTTTCTTCGTCTTCAGAAGTACTTCTTTCTTCGTCAGAAGTATTTCTTTCTTCTTCACAAGTACTTCGATTCCTTAGGATTCCTTAGGATTCCTTAGGATTCCTTAGGATTCCTTAGGATTCCTTAGGATTCCTCAGGATTCCTTAGGATTCCTTAGGGTCCTTGGGATTCCTTAGGATCCTTGGGATTCCTTAGGATCCTTAGGATTCCTTAGGATCCT